CCATGTAACATGGTACTCAAAGAAAGGAGGTGGTGAATGCTGGTACTAGGAAATGAAGGAGATGACAAATCATAGTGATTTGCAGTTAAAAGGTAATTGTGGTCATCAAAAGGTCTTTATGTCAGACTTAAACTAATATTTACTTCATTCAGAATGTGGGCAATGAAGAAAATGAGGTTAATCTCAAACCAAAGATGCAATCTCAAGCCAGAGTAGGGAAGTTGATGAATAGAACTCCCACTTGGTCAATTTTGGAGGTTTTACCAGTAGCATTTCTCATCTAAACTGAAAGCCAATATTCGGTTGAGGGCAGCAGCACACCAATAGGTGGATTTGCATTCTTGTATGTTTGGGTAAAGGGCAGGAGCGCGCTTTCGCTCTCACCAGTACTTATTGTAACTGGTTAAAATCAAATATCCAACAGCCGCTTTCCTTAGAAAAAGCTAAAATTCTATTTAAAGAAAATAGAGTAATACCCAAAATACAACCAAAACTTCAAAATAAAGCAATAGTAATGAAAAGGAGGTACTGATTTACTTAAAAGGTCCATATTGGAACATCATAAGACAAGCCAAGAAATTTATAAAAGTAGTTTATTTAACAAATTAGATTAGGAAAAGAAGATTCACCAAGAATTTCAGATATAGTCATTCAAAACAAACATGCAAGAGGCAAAAAGAACAGAAACAATAACGAAAATGCAGCATTATTTGTACTTAGTCATAAGGCGTTCTCATCCTCTACAAATAAAATGATCCAACAGAAACCATATCTCTTTATTTTACCTTACCATCTAGCTTCACAACCCTGTAAAGCAACATACCTTAAGTTGCTCCATAATATGTAGCCAATGATAGCACGAGTGAACAGCCATATCATTTGCTACTACTTCCATCAAGTTCAGAAATCAAAAGACTACTCGATTCCACAATCTAGTTAACTGAGCAACTTCAATACTATAGATAGCTTCATTTGTTGAAATGACATAATTGGCCAAATAAATTAAATAAGCCTGACGGGGTTCAACAAGGCAGAGCTTCTGTAACCAGAAAAAATATTCAGAAGAGCAATTGTATTGCTGCAGTCCATTAGTATAATTCCACATGAAATTCCAACACTCCAGGTAACTTAGATTTCATTAGCTAACCTTATGTATCATAGTAATTTGTACCATGTCATCCTGCATATTCTCTATTTAATCAACGTATTGTCAAAGCGCAGGTAGGTTGTGACACCTGCAACATTGGAATGGGACAAAGACGTGGAAGGTAACTTTCATCCTTTGGCATTTTTGTTGTAATCTCAACACGTAACTGATTAGCCCATACACAAACTTGATTACTTGAGTTGACAAGCTCAGAAAAGAAAAGAACAGCCATGCCCTCTTGCTCTACTGTAGAGGCCATTCATGCCTATCTAAACCATGTCACACAAAATGGCCCCTAGGTTGAGCTTTATATAAGATAAATTTCAACTCTTGCCGGTGGACTTATTCTAATCAAAGCACCACTATTTCATCAAACTCTCAGCTAAAATATGAGGTGCTATTTCTACAATATTGAAATCTCATACTCCTCCTGTCTATAACATTGCAGTCAACGGTCTATTTAGGGATCTATTTCAGGACTGGATAGTAGAATTTAAAATAATACCAAAAATAAATAAGAATAGTTGCGCTATAAGAAGTTGCATACCTATAATATATATGTAACTAGAAGTGTCCCTTCTCTAATGGCTTAAACCTTTATAGCTAAGTTGCTTGGACTCTTCACTTTCGGTGCCGCACCTGTATCGACAGGACGTGGGTATGGGTGTGGGATCTGTATCGGATCTCGTCAATCGATTTTGGGTACTTTGACCAAAATCGACGGAGAAATTCTGGATAGATACAATGATTTCTGAAATCAAAACAAAAGCTAGGCTGAAATTGAAAAAAATGAAATACCTTGTACATAGAAATTTCTATGACAGTCCTTTGCTTATCTCCTTCTCGGTCTTCCCTTGTTCAATATTTTCTCTTTCTAAAAATACATTGTAAATTTTTCACATAATGTCTCATATGTTAGACATATTTTTAAAACTATTTTTTCAGATATTTGAATTATTTTTGCCAAATCCCCAAACCCGTATCCGTACCTAGATCCGTAATCCCGAATCTTAAAATTTAGATCATGAAGATGCGACCACTAGATCCGAACTCGTACCGGACGCTTGCACCCGAGTCCGAGCAACTTAGCTTTATAGAAGATGGTTACTCAAGTTCAACACAATATCAGAGCAGACAAAGGTCGTGGCTTTAAGCCTTGTCATCACACATTTAAGGATATTTCCACAGCTTGGCCGAAGAAAAAAAGCAAGGTTCACATGCAAAGAGTCATGTTATACATATATACATTAAGATTTTAGAGACATCTAGTAACTCTAGTTCAACATATAGATACTTGAATGATAGCTAAAGAGTTCAAATTTAGTCCTAATGGGGCTCAAGAGATAAATCAGTCACAGAAATTACTATATCTTGTGCTTTGTGGGATAAATCAGCCGCTTAAGGAAAGATAATTAACTAGACATTGGCTACATGAAGTCATTAACTAGACATACTCTTTCCCCACAAGCCAAAGCTTAGAAAGATATTCAACTAATCCATTTAATAATACTAGTCCTAAGGTACGCACTTTGCACGTGTACCCATATTAATCAGTATATAATTTTTAAAACAATATAAATATATTATTAAATAATATGTTTAAGTTATAAAATAAAATTTTAAAAAGTATAAGTTCTTGAAAATGATGAATATTGATTTCTTTGAGCTAGGCGAAAAGATAAAAAAAAAAAAAATCAAGAAAATATCAAATTATATTCAATTCTTAAATGTAACGTAACTAGAAGGAAAAAAAATAACATTTCATAATAGAATTAAATTGTTTTCAATTCCAAAAATTCGTAACATAAATAAAACAGGAAAGGAAGTGCTTAAATCTTTATTTGATAGAAAAACATTGGAACACTTTGAACCACTAAATGCTACTTTTTAATTTTTTTTTTTTTTTTGCCATTGCAGTTTCACATACTTGAATGAGATGTATGAATAATTGTGTCTCAATTACATAAGTATCTCCATTATTTTGTTTAGGTAATAAAAAGATTTAATAAATAAAATTTTAAGTGATTTCAAAGTTTTAAATATTAAATTTACATGCAAATTATTATAGTTATGTTACCTAGTTCAAATTTAAAAGGGATTTACACAAGGTAACATTTTAGTCAATTTATTAGGACTTTCTAATAGTTAAATAAGGAAAAATTTTACAACCAAAATTTTTAGTCGATTTTAAAATTCTAAATATTAGAATAATAATTTAACTACAAACTCCTCATCTACCGTCACTTTTTAAAGAAACAATAGTCGTACCTCTTTTCGTCAAATGAAAAAATTGTAGTAGTTCAATTTTTTCCTCGGATGGCTTTGAATCCAAATCTATGGTTGTTGGTGAGATATTAAAACCTTGAAATTTGATTTTCTAAAAGATATTAACGTAAGTTAGTTCTTGTATTTGGTCCTAAATATTAGGACTTTAATTTGTACAAGGAAGAAATTTAGTTGATTTTAATGTCCTAAATATTAGGTATTCCTACATAATAATTCAAATGTGACAAGTTTTAACAAATAAAATTTTAGTTAATTTCAAAGTCCAAAATATTAGGGAAAATAAGTAAATGACGATTTTGACTAGTTTGAAATCTTTTTTTAAAGGGCAAAAAAGACGAACGACATTTCACTAAAGGGTTTCGTGCTTTTGATAGTAAAAAGTTTTTTTTCGTTTTGATAATTGTGGTGTGAGAGGTTGACATTGGAGGGCCTACGGAGAGGTAGAGGTAGGCCAAATAAGAGGTGGGGAGAGGTGATTAGGCAAGACATGGCGCAACTTCAGCTGACCGAGAACATGACCCTTTATAGGAAGGTATAAAGGTCGAGGATTAGGGTAGTAGAATAGGTAGCCTAGAGTGTTTATACCAGTAGTATGAGCACGCAGTCTCGCTTTCTGTTGGTAATAGGTTTTTATGACTAACCGTTGTTTATTTTCATTGTTGATCATCTTACTATCTTATTGTTTTTATTCTGTTTTTATATTGCTTTTTGGTACTGTCCCTTCTTGTCTATATTATTCATTAATGTGGTGCTCATGCTTTCCTGAGCCGAGGGTTTATTGGAAACAACTTCTCTATCCTCACAAGGTAGGGGTAAGCTCTGCGTACACACTACCCTCCCCAGACCCACGGTGTGGGATAATACTGGGTATGTTGTTGTTGTTGTTGTTGTTGATAATTGTGGTATCCGGGCCAGTCTGCGCGCACATCGACTAATTCCACGGGATACCTGCTACCTCCCACCAACAACAAGTACCAGGTAACTCTGCCCACCAAGGCTTGGACAGATTGGAGTAAATCACCTAGTGTTTTAGCCTCTGTTGGGATTTGAACCTGAGACCTCATGGTTCTCAACCCACTTCATTAACCACTAGGCCACACCCCAGTGCCAAAAAAAATATTATGGGTCATATAGGCAGTAAAACTTTTATACAAGTCAAATTAGAATTTGTGTTACATTCCAATTCTGTAATTCGACCAATTATGTCTTACAGAAGGTTGCTCAATTAATACAGATTGTTTCAAACTTAAAATTGTATGTTGTGTTTGTTGAACTTTGATTATTGCACTAAGGAAAACATTTCCTCGAAAATATTTCCATGAAGTAAGTCATTTTGTGGTATTTGGTTATAGGAAGAAAAAAATCTTGAGGTATTTAGTTAAATAGGTAGTAATGAGAGTAGGTGCGATAAGTTATTACATGTTCAGTAACTTTATCAAAGAATATGTATAGCTAAATGCCAATGAAATTTGTTTCTGACATTCACACTTCACGGAGAAGATTCACTTCAATAGGCAAGAAGACTGAATTCCTGGTATTCTAGTTGATATTGGCCTAAAGGCCTTACCTTTTCTGTTTGACCAATGTGCGAGATTGCTGAAAGAAACGAAAGAAAAAGGAAGCAATCAGTACAAAAATTCAGATTTAAAACAAAGAAAGATTGTTTCTAGCTGACCGTAAATCTTGCTATCCAAGTTGTTATAGTCCAGTAGAGGTGAAACTGTATCTTGCCTGTCACGGATGCAGCTCCATCCAACAGATCATAGAGTGATTCCAGAAAATCGACATAAAATGAGATAACACCTGCAGCAGTATCAACATAATTTAATTATCATAGCCGCTTCACTAACACCTACAAAACATAAATTCACTGGCTTACAAACTATAACAACCTGGATTTCCAGGAATAAACAAGACATGAAACTTCGGGTCCTTGGCATGAATTTCCAGCAGATCCGTCTTATAACTGGCCCATCATTACACGCACAGGATGAGAGGCTAATAGTTTCTTATGCAAATAAATGTACAAAACCTTCAACAATAAACACTAAAAACATGATTTGATCTTTAATTCAGCTGCTCATTTCTCACAAGTCAAAAGCGAATGGATAGTAAGTAAAACACCAGTCAGCACGGTGTCATTGGTAACCCCGTGAGAGTACCAAAAAAATGCTACCCATCCTACCTTACTAAATTCATTTTCCATATGCATGATACTTGACGCTATCCTACTCCTTGATTCTTGAAAGAATGACATTGATTCTTCTCTTTCTATAGAAATTCATGTATAAAAAAACTACATTAAAATTACCATAACCAGATTTGAAATTAAGACATTTTTAAAATGCTTCAAGAATTCCTAGCAAAAAAAAACAAAAAGTTTTAACTCTCCAACTACTCCCTCCGTCCTAATTTAGGTGGTGGTGTTTGACTTAGCACGGACTTTAAGAAAGAAAGACTTTTGAAACTTATAGTTAAAACAAGTTATAGACAATTTTGTGGCTATAAATCAACTCAAAATGTGAAGGTTAAAGTAAAGTTAAATTATTTATAAATAAGGAAATATGAGATTCTTTTAGGAACGTTGTAAAAATGAAAGTATGATGATAATTTCTACACCAAACGAACTAGATTAGTAAAATATAATTCACTATACAGAATGATGAATGTGCTTCATATTGCAACTCCAACAATTGGGTCCAAATTAACAGTGCCTTCTACTATCTCAATCACATTGGTGTTTATCCATATTCGTAACACTGTGCGGAAACAGAATGGAAACACATAATCGATATCCCTTATCTGCGATAAACTACAAATATATATATAAAACAAATTAAGAGTCAAAAGACAGTGAGAGTGTAAAGATACCCTGAAACGTTGCATAGCCGAAAACTTGCACGATGTCTTTTATCAATTAGACTCAGATTTTCGGGACCCATTTGTGAATTTCTGCACTTGGATGAAATTAGTCTCCTGAAATAAATAAATAAACAAAACACAGAAAGAAGAATGACGATTTGGGTTTTTTTTTCCTCACACAAAAAAAAAGGAGTACATGAAAAACGGCGATCAAAACATGAATTGGGTATTGAAAAGGGCGTAGGAACCTGAACCTGGAGTGGAAGAAGGAGAAAGATCGAGTAATGGGAGGAAGAAGCATGGATTCTATCGAACTCTGTTATATAGTCGGGGATTTCGTGGGAGTCTGGTATGGACTGGTCGTTAACTCGTTACTCCGTAATGTTAATGCTATCAATTAACTTTTTGTCTTTTTTTGTGTCTACTTTTTAATTCTTTCTGCGGGTTAAGACCACCTTCTTGGGGTATGCAATTTGATTAGCCATTTGGTTAGCATCAACGTTATTACTAGTGTCTTACAAATGTCGTGCATTTTAGTTCTGGGGCGGAGTTATAATAGTGAGTGCGGGTTTGGGCGAACCCAATAACTTTTTCCGTAATTCTGTATTTGTATTGAAATATTTACTAAATCTATATAAATATATACTGCCGAACCCAGTAACAAAAGGGGTCTTGGTTCAATGGTAAGGGTTGTGGGTTCGTTGGGAAAGATGGGAGTTCGATTCCCACTGAAAGTAGTATTTTATTTTAAAATTTAGAACTCACACACTTAAATCCCTAGCTCCGCTTCTGTTTTAGTTGATGGTATAGCTAAGTCATACATAAGGTATTTCAACTTTTTTCCCTTGAGAATTCAACATTATGTTATGTGCAAGGTTTTCAGAGAGCTAATTTTCTGTAATGGTTTGGTTCGAGCCTGTTTACCCTTAAAACGGATAACAATTAAATTTTTACGCGATTTTAAGGATATGTGGATTGATTCAACACAAATAGTCAAGAGTATTAGATAAACGAGTTAAAGACAAAATGAATAATCAAACAAGTTGCAACGTTACGGCCCAACTCGAACTTAGGTTGAACAGTGGTTTTGCCCTCGATCGGGACCGTGGTTCGAAGCCGATTATGAATGGAGAACAAACGGTAAAGTAAGAAATTTGCAATAACTAGAAAGCAGAAAAATGAATTTGTATTGCCTTGGTTTGGGTGTTACAATGTGTGGTATCAAAGAAAAACTTTCCATCTATATAGTAAGAGAGTTTTATCCCTAGTACAAGTCTAAAAAAGGTAAAAATCCTCATTTCTCATTAATTACTAATCTGTAACACACATCGTGCGAGATCTGTGTCGTGATATCCGGTTAGGTATGGATATAACGACCCTCTATTCGTCGTGTGTAACTATTTACCATATTTCCCTAGGTCTTTGAGCTCGTTTTGGGTCCGGGGAACGTTGCCTTATCACGCCCGACGATGAGCACATCGTTCACCTTTCACGGATCTCGGTATGAAAGGCTCCCAGCCTCGATTTCAACCTCGTGCGTCCGTGCCCTTCTCCCGTCTTCTTTACCAGGAAATTGGGGTATGCATCATCCTCGATTTTACCCGTATACAGATAGTCCTCTCATTTTCTGGAGAGCAGGTTTGCCGCAATGTTGGGAAACGAATAGATGAACCCCGATTTCTTCCCTCGTACGTTATGACTGATACGACGGGTAAATTGAAATGTCCCATCAGTCGTGTCGTTCTGACTTCGGACACGTGTCGGTCATCGGATGGTTGTCTTCGAATGCGAAACGACGCACATTAATTGTATTTTCCCTTATAAAAGCTTCAACCCCATTCACTTCTTCTACTTTTCGATTCTAGACTTTACCTTCGAACATTCTAACGGCTCCTAAATTCTCTTGATTTTCATACATTGTTCATTGAACCTTCTACCTTCATCTTCATACTTCTTCTTTGAACCTTCATCCCAGACCTTCATACCATATTCAAATCTCCATATTTTTCTCCAGGCCTATATTTTCCAGATCACAATGGCTAAAACTTTTAAGTCAGTGCCTTAGTATGCCGTCCATTCATCTTCCCACCTGGCCGCAGATGCTGAGATGGCTGTTCCTGGGGTGGCTCAGGAGCTCCCCCCCATGAAGAGCTCCATACCCGTAGTCCGAGCGGACTGCAAATATGAGGGTAAGGACGTGGTTATCCTCGGGCCCAATGAAGATATTACTACTCATGTGAAGGGGTACCTGAGTATTTATACTTACCCCTTCACACTCGCCCATGTAGATCCTATAGTTCTTGCTTTCTGTAAGAGGTACGGGGTGTGCCTTGAGCAAATCCACCCATCCTTCTAGAGGATCGTGATCCTCTTGCGCCATTTTGTGAACAACACCGAATCTCCTCGGTTCACCCTCGACCATTACTCTGCTTGTACAGTCCCCGAATCTTCCGAGGGGGACTGATCAAGCTCGTTCACCGAGCAAGCAAGGCTCCTTTCTCGAGCATTGATGAGGACCGAGACCGAGGCTGGCAGGGGAGGTTTGTTCGGGTACAAACCAAAGACCTGCCCCCGCCCTCCCGAGTTTTTGTCGTTCCCCGAGGAGTAGATCACATCCTGTAAGTATTGTCTTACTTGGGTATTTATTTCTTTTTGTTCGCCTATGTTTCTGGTCGTGCAACTGTTGCCCGAGTTCCCGATATAATCCCCCGATTCAAGGAGTGGATCGAGGGGATTTATAAGTAGATGTCATACACCAAGCGCGCAAGGCATAAACTTTCGAAGGGAAAATAGGAGGCCTCTTCTCATGGTAAGGTTATTCCCTGAATAATTAACGTCACGCTCTTAATTTGTTCAGTGCTAACATTTTCTCTTTTCTTACAGGTCTTCCTAAGACCACCAAACTTAGGCCGATGGATAAGGATGATCTGTCCTTGCTTACCAAGCCCTCTGTTTTGGGACAGCCTGGGGCTGCCTCGAAGGATGAGAAGAAGAAAAAGGGAAAGGCCTCGTGTTCCCCGGATCCCGAGGCGAAGAGGAAGAAGAGGGAGGCCACCTAGGTCCGGAAGCCCAAGAATAATACCAAGTCCAGGGTACCGGACCCTAACTTTCTCTATCGGCTCAGGGATGAGTCCGAAGAAGATGACATCTTCGTCGCTTATGGGTCGACCCCTGTTGGGGAGCAGGCAACGACCGAGAAAAAGGACCATGAGGTCGATCCCCTTCTGACTCAGGAACTTGAGGGGGAGATGGAGGTTGCGGCCTCCCAAGAAGCCGCTATTGTTTCGAAGGAACGTGATGATGAGCTCGGCCAAAGGAACGGGATGATGAGACGACCGAGCTCATCTCAGAATGGGATACCCTTGGGCATGAACATGCTGCACTAAGGTCTAAGCTGGATGCGACCTCCGTTGATTCCGAGGAAATGGTGGCTCAGTAGAAGTCCGATGTGGAGGCAGTAGAGATCCGTTTAAAGAAAAAGACTGAATACATAAAGCGACTGAATACTTATCAGCCGAGATCAAAGAAGCCAGGAGGCTCGAGGCTAAAGCAAAGGCGCTCTACGAGCCTAAGGGTCTCAAAGGCTCCGACGGTTCTGAGGGCTCCGAGGGTTCTGGTGATGTGTCGGGTTCCGGTGAAGACCAGGCGTATGGACCGTTCTATCGGGCCTTTGTAAATATATTTTGGAATATATTTGAAAATTTTCCCTTTCTAGCAATATCATGACTTTACTTTTTAGCATTTTTTAGCAATTTCTACTTGCGTATTATTTTTAATGCCTTAGCATAAAATTAGACTTCGATGCCACTTTGGTTACTTGTGGCTTTGAATCCTCAGTGAGACCGAAGGTTCTTAAGATGCTAAAGTCTTTTTAGATGATCTTTTTGTCGAGGGTAACCTTTTAGTAGGTTTCGAATTTTCGTAAAGGCCTTACTTTTTGTTTACGCACTTCGGACGTCTCCAAGCTATTTTTAGAGTGTCCATAGCCTTTTATATTTGGGCACCACCTAATAGGTTTGGTCCCTTCGAGATTCAGTAGCCCGGGTCGTCCGAAGTTTCTTCGAGCGACAGTCCCCGAGTAGGGGTAACCCTTGGGATCGATAGTCCTCGAGTAGGGGTAGCCCGTAGGCTCTAGGATCCGGGATCGAAGAAGCAAAAATGCATAGTAGCAAAGTGGAAATTTCTTTTATTTCTTAGTATGCAAGGTACATGATCGAAAGCGTATAAAAACTTGTGCCATGGCAAGAGTGGACTATGTGGGCACGGTTCATACGACCGTTTGGCCCTTACAACGAATCCTAACCACCAAGACTTAGCTTTTAGCACACAAAGTTTTCTTTTTCCCTTGCTAAAGACCTTAATCCGAGGGTAATGGCCCCCAGTATTCGAGGTCGAACTCGTGAGGGCTCGGATACTGTTGACCTGTAGCGAACGATCATTGACTCTAGTTTGAAACCGGTCTTCGAATCTAAGTTCGCACGTTTTGTCGTTGCCTCGTTAAAAACCTTGCCGAAAAATCCACTTTGGGGCAAAACCGGTTCAAGGAAAAAAGAGTGCAACGCGTTCTTTCAGACCTAATGGCCACATTCGTCCTTGGACGTTTACCTGCATATGTTAGTTTGATTTATAACATGATTAAGAAGTAATTGAGTTTGTACCTTAGCAATAGTACCACTTCAAGTGTGTCATGTTCCAATTGTTTGGTAGTTGTACATTGTTTCCTTCTTCGAGTTTATATGAGCCTTTGTCGGTTGTTCCGACAACTCGATATGGTCCTTCCCAGTTCGGTCCCAACTTCCCTTCGTTCGGGTTTCTGGTGTGTAATGTTACTTTCCTCAACAACAAGTTGCCGACTTGAAAGTGTCGGAGGCTGGATCTTTAGTTGTAATACCTTTCTATTCGATGTTTCTGGGTGGCTAACCGAACCAGGGCGGCCTCCCTCCTTTCATCCAATAATTCCAGGCTTGTGATCATGGCCTCGCCGTTTGGCTCTTATGTCTCATATTGGAACCTGGGAATTGGTTCTCCCACCTCGACTGGTATTAAGGCTTCGGCTCCGTAGACTAATGAAAACAGGGGTGACCCCGGTGGTAGATTTTGAAGTCGTGCGGTATGCCCACAGGACTTCGGGTAGGATCTTCTTCCATTTCCCTTTCGCACCAATCAATCTCTTTTTCAGGTTTTGAAGTATGGTCTTGTTTGTTGATTCTGCATGTCTGTTCCCACTAGGGTGATAAGGTTTCAATAGTATCTTCTTGATCTTGTGATCTTCGAAAAATTTATTTACCTTGCTGCCGACAAATTGCTTTCCATTATCGCAAAATATTTCGGCCAGTATTCCAAATCGATATATTATATGGTCCCAGATGAAGTCAATGACTTCTTTCTCCAGGACC